CCGCCGCTTGCTTTCGCGAGCTGGGCTACGATGCTCCTCCGTGGGCCTCGCTGCAGCAGGGGCAGCCGCTTCCCGGGCAAGCAGACCGCATCAGACCGCGACTTCGGCGACTTCTTGAGGGGCTGGCAGCATCAGGCTTCCCTTGCCAGTGATAAGCGCGAGCTCGAGTTGCATCTTTCTCACCTTGATGCCGCATCTCGAGCGCTGCTGCTGTCACAGGTTGGGCCGCATGCTGCACGGACCTTCATCCTTCTTCCACCTCAGCTGCACTGGCGGTGGCTTCGCCGTTGTTCCGCGTCCTGATGCTGTGCCGGCTTCGTTTGCCACTGCCGGTCGCCCCGCGCACGTGCGCTTGCCGTGGTCGTCTTCACTCAATCGGTGATTGCTCGCTTCCACCGTTTTTCCTTCTCGCACTGCCGTAGCTGCGATACAGACAAAGGTAACCACATGGTGTCCACAACGCTCAGACAGATAGCGGGCGACAGCTACACATAAAAAATCGCGGTTCATCTGGGGCTACGGCGCGCGCAGCACAGCGGTGTCGCTTAGTTGTGTTTGGCCTTGAGGTTGGCAGCGGCCGGGCCACTCAGGCGTTGCGATCAACAGCTCCATGGGTTGTCGGGCGATATGCAAGAGACGCCTATCCAGCTTTCAACCGAATGCGCGAAGAAAGTCCCTGTGCCGCGCCCTACCTCGGAGCGCCCGGCGCAGCTGGTGCAGGACACAGCCTCTGGTCCACACGAGCTGCTATGCAACGGCAGGGGCTGTCGCAGGCGGCGCCTCGGCTTGGCACACTCTGGCGGCAAAGGATGCTGAAAGGTCTTTTTTTTCTTGCCGCCTGCCGCAGCGCGTGTCGCGCATCTTGTCCTTCGTGATAGCGCTTCGCAGTGCTGCCCTTCACGCGACAGCAGCCTTTTGGGTTTCTTAGGCTGATGCTGTCGACGTCCTCCGCGCGCGGGACGCGCAGCTAGTCAACGCTTTGGTGCCTGCCCTCGATGAACGTAAGATTGTTGAGTGGTCGCCGGTACAGGACCTCTTTCAAGCTGCCGACGCACTCGCCGTGGCTGGTTTGCGGTACCGCGGTGACTCTCAGGCCGGCTTTTTCGCCGCCCGGGTGTTCACTTTCCGTTCCACTGCGCTTGTGCTCGTCCTTGACTCTGCAGTATTTCGGGTCTTGCTCCTTCGTCGCTTGCGGCTTCCGTTGCTTGTAGCCCCTGCTCGGTGCCGCTGCCAGCATGCAGCGGCTCGGGTTTGCCGTGAGGCTGGCGCTACAGTTGCCACCAACGTTCGTGTCCGAGATCTCAACCTCGATGCCTCCAGATTTCACGAGCGCCGTCGCCAATGGATTGCCGTCGTGGGATGGCTCCCATTGGCTGTTGACACGACGTTGGTGTCGCCACTCACTTCTGCCGGTCGCAGCCTGCAGGCATTGCCCATGTTGCCCGCCAGGCCAAGGAACGCACTTACCCTGAGTTTGCTGGTGCCCATCGGTGCTGTCTTTGGCCTCGAAGTTGAGGGTCGCTGGCCGGAGTGCAGAGGCAGCCACGTTCACTCGTTTGCTTGCAAGGGCACTGCAGCATGCGTTGCAGCCTTTGTCGCACGGTGGTCGCAGCTGCGCGTTCCTTCGCAACCAGCGTGCTGTCCCTTCCCATCCCCAACACTGCCAGCCTTGACGGCGAGCCGCCTCTCCTGAGTGACGTCCTCGCGGACTCGGCGGAGGTGCTGGCACTCGCCTCCCGCCGGTAGTAACCCTATAGGTATATGTAGCTAGTAAACCTCGGCTATAGGTTAGGTGGGATGGGGCCTTGTCCTCGGTCAGGTTGTGCCCGGTAGTCTGCTGCACGGAGACCGCGCTCGGATGTTTGGACCCAGGGCTGGCTGCGCCGCTGGTGGTGCCTGCTCAGTGTTGCTTTGCAAAGCACACGTGCTGCAACACTGCTCGGCACGCCGTACATCGCTGGGGCCATGCCTGGCTCTCAGCTCCGCACGCTCGAGGACGTTCTGCACGACGTAGCCCCCCCCCACCCCGAGCCGCTTGCCGTAGTTTGCAGCGTGCACGGGGACCGGACTCTTTTGCGCAGTCGTAAAAGGTGCGTGGAAAAAAAAGGGTCGCCCGAAAGAAAGGACGAAACAATCGTCGACAAACTTTGACAAAAAAACCCGGTTGTAGAGATTTAACAGCTGGTGGCCCTATATGTTGGATTCACTGTAAAACGATAAAGAATAAATTTTAACGATAAGATTTTTGTTTGCTTTGTCAGCAAATCTCAGTATGGCAGGGATGTACAAGTAATGCAACAGAATTTTCAAACCCCAAGTAAACGCAGCAGACGTTTTAAAAACAGCAAAACTGCTTCAAGAATCCCGCAGTGTTGGTGCTGAGTCCTATCGAGTTTTTTGGCCCGTGGTTCTTGTGGTCATAGGAAACAAGACGAAAGAGTCCTCGCCACCCCACAAGAGCCCAGGTCAGACTAGCAGACGCCTGAAAGCCAGCAGCTCATCAACAAATTTACATTGTTGGCATTCGAGAACTGTGCTTCCAACTTCCAAGTGTGGCAAGTGTATATCTGGACCCTACAAGCGGTTCGCGGTAGTGAGGTTTAAACGATAACCAAAACGATAACCCGAACGATAGGGTTTGGCATCAGAAATTGTGCTTTGTGAGCACTTGATTATGTTTGTATAAAGTCACTTTTAAACGATAGGAAACATCCGGATCTAATGAATGCGTGCAAAGCGAGTGCGCATTACTGTTACCACTACTCTTACTAGTATTGTTACTATTGATATGAACACTACTAGCATTACTACTGTTATTCTTACGGTTGAACTGTTATTGTGAATGTATTGGTATTGTCTTGACTATTACTATGGCCATGAATATTGCAATTAATTAGTGGTGCTATTGTTGTTACCATGACCATTACAATTACTATTGCTAGTACTATTGCTATCACGACTAGTCACTACCACTATTACTATCACCGTCACTATCACATACTATCACTGTTACCATTTCCATGAGTATTGCTATTGCTTTTATTCTTACTATTGCTAAGCTGTTTATAACTAATACAGTCTCAGTTTGCTAGTAGCCCCCCTTTGCTCTTTTATTGTATGGTCTCCCTTGTTAAAACTGCATACAAGGAACAACTCCACCATTCTAGTCAGCGGGACACTGCGGAACAGGGCAATATAGTATTATTGCTATTGCAATTATTGTAATTACTATTAATCTACTGCTGCTACTAATATTACCTGAATTAACAAAACCCCAGAAGCTTTGGCAAGGACTGAGACAATCATTCGATGTAGCCATATAGATAAACATGGCTCGGGGCTTGCAAAACGATAAGGAATAAGATAAAACGATAAGATTTCAAATAGGGATAGGAATCCTTGACTGGGTTTTTTTGCAAAACCACGTTTGCCCCGATCTAGCTTGAGAACGCAACCTTTTTGTTTGTTTTTTCTTGTTCTCGCAAGGTTTCGTGCGCCGAGCAATGAAGGAGAGCATGTGCAAGAGTGTCTGGTTGACTAGCACAAAACCGACAAAGTTGTTCTTTTTACTGCAATGTTATGATGGCGAGTGCTGCACCCCTCGCGGACGGAGTGGTGTTTTTTCGATACATTTTTTGCAACAGCACGAAAGCAAAGGTCCGGTCCCTGTGCACACTGCAGCAGCGCCGCTGCGATGCACATCATCGTGCGGGCAGGCGACTGGGATGTGGCGGGCTGTCTAGCCGGTGCTCGGCGAGCACGTCGCTGAGGTCAGGGGGCGAGCCATCCAAGTTGGCAGCGCCGTGGAGGCGCAGTGACAACAGCGAGGCTGCAAAGGACCTGGCAATTGCAAAGGCGAGAAACCTATCCGGAGCTCAGCACGGCACGCCGGTGCCGCCTGGTCGTCTTCGGCATCGAGGTTGGGGGCCGGTGGGCACCTGAGGCCGCCACTTTCGTCCGCTTGCTTGCGCGTGCACGCGCTGCGAGTGTGCCTGCCATCCTTCGGCCCGCTGCTCAAGCCGCATGGGTCCTGAGGTGGAGCGGAATCCTTGCTGTCGCTGCCCAGCGCGCGCTTGCCGCCTCCTTGCTACACCTCCCTCTCGCCAACGAGTGCACTGGTGGAGGGGCCGAACCCGCTCTGCACGAGCTGCTCGCTGACTTGCGCTGGCACGAATCGCCTGAGTGCAGTCGCATGCCCAGCCGTGCTGCGTGAGTCCTTCCGTAGGCCGTGTGGGCACAGGGACCGCGCGTTTGCAGACGGTTGCAAAAAGGTGCGTTGGAAAAAAAAAAAAGGTTGCACTCCCCCGCGAGTGGGAGTTCCAGCATCGACGCGGCGATGGCGCGTTGCACAGCGACTGCCAGCAGGCCAGACCAGCGAGCCACCCACGCTGCGCGCGCAGCGGCCCGCAGGAGCACTGGCACCTCCAAGGCCTGGTGCCCAGCGAGCAGGCGGAGCCAGGTGGCTGCTTCAGCGCCAAAACGGCCGCCGACTTCAACACCGACAACACCAAGGCGGCAGCGACGGGCGCGCACGAGTTCAGGATAAGTTTGATAGCGTTTGCGCCGCGCGGCTCCGTCGACGGCTCGGCCAGGCCGCACGTCAGCACCCGGCTGAGCGTCACCAGCCCTGGTGACGGGGCTGACGATGGTGGCATGTACGGCTTGATGCGGGCCATGCCGTTCGCGAGGACTTCGATGCGGCGGTCGCCGGCCACCGGCATAACGATGTTCATGTCTGCTAAGCGGACATTACGGGCAACGCGTGCGCCGCCTTCCTGGCAGACCCTGGCAAGAGCTCGTTCAAGAGGGAGGGCCCGGCGTGGTGGTGCTGGTGGTGGTGGTGGTGGTGCTGGCGCTGCTGCTGCTGCTGCTGCTGCTGCTGCGGCTGCTGCTGCTGCTGCTGCTGCTGCTGCTGCTGCTGCCGCCAACCACTGCCACGACCATGCACCCGCGGTGAGACATCTCGAGCTACGTTGCCCGGGACGCGTAGCTTTGCAGCCATGGATTTGGTTTTCACAGGCTTACCAACTTCAGCTCGGACCTCGAACCAGCACGAATGAAAACTTATGTCGGTCTGTAGTGCTGGCACCCATGTTCGGTGGGTTTAACAGGTTCTATCCCGAAGCTGCGGCACGTCATGCCCAAGGCAGGCCAGCAGGCCGTGACGCCAATGTGCCGTTTCTAAGCGGGAAACTGGTTGGTTGTTGTGCGTGTTCTGGTGCCGGGATGTGCCGGGTGTCTGGCATGCTACGCTGCGCAGGCCTGACATTTCGGTGGCGAGCAGAAATGGCAAGGCGCCAACCACAACCATGACCATGACGAAACAATATACAAGAACTTGGGTTCGGCAGGCAGGCGATGCTGGGGCGATCCTCTCGTCTGTTGCCACCTTCGGCCACAGGCGGAGCATGTTTTGGATATTGTGCTACTGCTACGCTTGGTTGGCATGTTTTTTGTGGTGCAGGCTGGCAGCACTGGGCAACCCGGCTACACCGGACCCTTCAGAAACATGAGGAACGTCTATTTGTTTCGTCAACATGAAAGATTGACCGAGTGGACAATTAACCTGCCATCAGCAGGCCGGAAAAGGTTTCTCAGCTGCCAGACTCATAATTGGGTTTGTTTTCCATGTTTTTTTCTCACGCATCGTCAGTTTGGGACCTTGTGAGCCTGGCAGAACGAATCAGGGGATAGGTTTTATCGAATTTATCGATTAGATAGATGATGATGTTTTGCGAGAGATCCACGGAGCGACGGAGGGCGGGAGGGAGGGTGATGCGGTGTCGTGGATGGGTGCTGTGGTGTGGCACAAGGGATGGAGGGATGGAGGGAGGCCTGGTACCACCAAGCCTGGGATGGAGGAATTAGAAATGCAAGAGGAAGCGTGGTTTTCGGACCTGTGGGCAGGCGAGGGAACTTCATGCATTTGGCTTGCGCGTTTGGGCGACGGCTTTCGAAACTCCTGCCAAGGTCTCGGCTTAACAGCTGTGGCGCTGCGCAGAGCGCCGACCCTGATGACATTTGCACACGGCTTGTGTTTCACCCACGGGGATTCCGAGTATAATTGCAGCCGTTCTCAATGTTCAGCACCATGCACTTTTTTCAGAGCTGCTGCGTGCAAAAGCCCCGATCAGCTTCTCTAGTGCCCCGGCGCCCGAGGATTCCAGGTCACGTGGTGATGGCCGGACCATCGTGGGAGCCTTACTTGGTCCGTTTCAGGTGCTCGAAAAGCATCATTGTACTTCAGAATTTCAACTCACTCCAGGTCCGAGGCCGGAACTACGAGACAAACATCAAGAAAAAGAAGGGGTGCTGGGCCGAGGCGAAAAGTCGCAAGTGAGGCTTCGATGACGACTGCAACAGACGAGAAGGTTAACATAATGCAACGTCCAAGGCCTGCTGAAAGGAAGCAGGCCTGACCGTTGCAGCTTGAGCCAGTGATGCAATGCAAACGACAGCTGGAGCCCTTTGTCCCTCCAGCCTGTGCTGTGCTTCTGAAGTTGTTGAGGATGCGATCGCGCACCCTATTGCATCTCGCAATCGTTGACTGTTGGATGGAGCAAAAGTGGTTGTGTCAGCTGCCCGCAGGCCAAACTCACGGCAAAGCACTTGAGGCGAGGCGGCAGCAAATGACCCGTATAGACTCAGACCTGATGCGGGGACGCGAGCCAGACCTCGGGAGTGAGCCATCCGGTCGTGGGATGGGAAACTCTTTATGTGGACGCTGCTTCAGTTGTCCTGAATGGTGGTGGAGGTGGGGTGGGGGGCATCGAGATTAATAAGAAGCAACTCACAAGCACGGGCGCTTCAGTGGTGCAGGGGAGGGATGACTTGGCGGCGAATGATCAATTTTTATGACGTCGGAGAGATGACCTTTGTGCAAATTGCTGTTGAGCCAGCTGTTGCAGGTAGATGGCAAAACGCACGTCTCCTCCGGCACAGACGGGGGCGGGGGGGCACAGAGCGATGCGGGCGAGCAAAAAGCCACAGGGAGAGACTTCTCGAACCAGAAGAAATAGAAGAAGAAGAAGAAGACGAACAGTACAAGAAGAAAAGCAGCAAGCGCGAGCTCCACGCATGTATGCACGCAAGCTGCACTTGTCCTCCAGCTCCTTTTGCCTGTGATTGCGCGCGCACGCGGGTGTGTGTGTGTGTGTGTGTGTGTGTGCGTGTGTGTGTGCGCGCGTGCGTGAAGGAGACAGCAGATGAGTTGAAGGTGCCCAGAGCATGCTAGAGTCTGCTGCAAGTAGAGCAGGAACATCACTATGGCCGTGCGCGACGGAGGGCCGGATCCGTCAGCGAACTCCATGCTGAGTCGGTTCATAAAGGCGCCAGACGGTGCAGCAGTGAGCACTGCAGATATGACATGATTCCCTCCTTGCTGCAGAACGCGCTGAAAGACAACGTGCCGAGGCCTGCAGATCTAAAGCCAGCACAGTAAGTGGCTCTGCAGTGCCTTTTGAGTCATTAGCAGCTTTGCTGAGTTGATGCTTTGTTCGAACGATGTCGAGTCTTATCCTGACACGCCGCGAGGGACACCGTCGACAGGCGGATCAAGGCGTTTACGGAGCAGTAGGGAGCCAAGACAGCATGAAGCGTGAGCATTGCAGCAGCAGTGGCTGGTGCATCGCGACTCAGACCACCACGTTGGCCGCATGCTATTGAATGCAGAATCTGTGTTTCGGATCAGCCATTGGCTGGTGGAGTCCACCATGCTAGAGTGGGTTTCGTGGCCTTCCACTCTGTGCAGTAGCGCCATTCGGTTCTTCAACCAGCTAGCTGCAGTCCCAGAGAAGTTGTGTGATGCTGTGTCGAACGTTCGGGGTTGGTCATGTTTGGGCAGGGCATCGCTGCATCGATGCAGCTCGTGCATGAGATGCCGAGCCAAAGCTAGCTCTCGCTGAACGGTGGCCGCTGGACATCTGCAGCTATTCCAGGATGATCGTGTCCTGTCGAGGCGCGTTCAACTTGTTGCAATTTGTCCAGGCATTTCCAGAGATGTACCACAATCAGGCTGGTTCTGAAGATGCAACGACTCAAAGTTTAGGTTTGCGCTACATTGGTCGCTTTGATAGCGATGGCAGAGATAAGTAAGCGACAACCATCTCGAAAACAGTAGCAGCACGAAGGTGCTAATTTGTGTTGTGTCAAAAGAGCTGCACACGCTCTGATATCCTTTGCTGCGCGAGAAGGACATGCTCATCAATGCTGGTGCCAATCAGCATGTCCCAGAACTTCCGGAGGCAGCAGGTGGCTGGCGCGGGGGTCCCAAGCACCGTAACATGAGGAAAAGCGTTCTGCAGCGGGTTTCATTCGTTACATTTCGTTACTCTGAAATGGAAACCTTCTTGCGGTTCACCGTAACTTTCCAGTGCTATTGTGTTCCCATTCAGGTTCCTGCATGTTCCTGATTGGTTTTACCTGAATAGATGCTCGCATGGAAACCTGATCACGTAGCTGTGCAGGCAGAGTCTGAGGCCCTGCGTGCTTGGAACAGCAACCGAGCCCCAAATTACAGCTGGGCCGGATCCTTCTTACATCAAGGCCACCTGACTTGGAGTCGGGCCATTGCTGGGCTGGGCCACGCGCAGCAGAAGGCCACAATCTCAAACATACTGCTTCCTTGAACAGAGTCGCAGACTCCATTTCGGCAGTGCAGGACGGGTGCCATCTACTACAGTTCAACAAGGTTCTTTCAGCACTGGACAAGGGAGATCAGTGGGAGTGCCGCCGGGACAACATAACGTACTGGTAGGTCTGGGTTTTTGACTCCAAAACTGTCTAAGCAGCGTGTTCGATAGTAAGGCGCAGAGCTGCTGCTTCAAAGAGCTGGCGGCCTCCGGCTGGAGCCGGACATGTACAGCAGTTTGGCTTAAGCGTGTCCTGTTTCGTCGGCTTTTTCCATCAGTCTTTGAGGTTTGGGTGCCGGCCTGAGTGCCCTGGCTCGGCATCGGCACTGGGCGGGTGCCACCTCCGTCCTCCAATGGGGCCAGAAAGAGAAGCTGCAAGCCTCGGAGGTGAACAACCGTATCCGGAACGTGACGTTTGATGCAACAAACTTGCTTCGTCCTGACCCTCCTGACCTGGAGGTCATTTTCAACTCATTGATGAGCTCTTGTGATCGCAGTGACCGTTGGATAACTGCCTTCGACGTGTTTCGGACTCTTTACAAGGCTCGCGACCGATGTTCCAACTCTCACGACCACGCGGAATTGGAAGCTGCCACCATGTCTCCATTCTTGTTAAAGGCGCTGCTGCAACCGAGTCCTGCTTCTTTCAGCTGCTGGAGCCGTTGGCCAGCTGCTGCAGAGGCATGAGCTGAACACGCCATTGGGCAGACATATTGCAGCTCAGCATGACGAAAGGCAATTTCGGCTATTCGGCAAGAGGGTCTGCAGCCGAGCCAGCCCTCTGGCCGAAATCGAAGTTTGTCGTGCACAGTAGGATTGTAGATTTGCAGGCTTGCCGTACTGCTGGGCTTGCTTGGCCAAGCCAAGGATCAATCAGGGCATTGCGATGAAGGCATTCCAGCTAGCTGAGTTCTGGCAGTGTGCCTTGTGTCTGATGCAGGACAGCAGTCTCAGAATGAGTTGATCATAGACGATCTTGCAACATCGTACGTTTGCCCGGTCTGACGTACAAACGAGATTGTGCCTGCAGGAGACATGGAAAGGAACAATCATCATCGACCAGGTCACGACCAGCTCTGCCATGACCGTAGCTTGCCTGATACAATTGCTGCGAGCACACTCAGAAGCGATTTCGGTTCGTACTTAGCAGTCGCGTGTGATTTCAGAAACTTATGGGGGCGAGGGTTTGCGTTTGGTATGAGGCAACTATTGGGCAGACACGGACAGAACGCATTCAAGGGAGGCGACGTCCGGCATCCAAACGGAACCGTAACTCCCTGAAGGGCGTTGTTTGCTCGTAGCCAGTCGGCGTCATTTTACAGAGAGCATTCGCTGCGAGCGAACTTGGAGACCACGTGTCGGCAGCACGTAGAAAGTAGCGGCAACTTGGTGAAGCCGAGACAAACACGCCTAGAAGCTGCGAGTGCTGAAGCTGCGGGCCATACCTGGCACAAGCATCACGGGCTGGATCACGGTTGTGGTGTTGGATGGGTTTACAGTCTCTGGCGTAAGGTCAGGCTGTTCCATGCTCTAAGTGTTTTCGGGTTTAAGGCAAAAACGGCCGCCACTTCGAACCCAGGCACTGGAGCGAGGTCGGCACTGGAAAATGGCCTTGCACCTCTCTGGTCCCGGAGCCGATGTTGTTCGTGGCGTGGCGGATATCTTAGTGCCAAATAGCACTGTTCGACATGCCCCATGCTCGGGATGCTCGGGTTGAGGGCGCGTCTGTCTATTGAATTGGGACACTGATGACTGAGAAAATGCAAAGCACCTTCGAGTCGAGTTCTGTTGCCGTACGAGTTGAAGTCCTGCTGGAGTCCAGGCATTGGGGCAGAGGCTGCAGCTGCTGCCGCGGCAGGGCCCCACTCCCAGTTCGGACACCGGGTCCGTTCATGCGTCGCGCAGCTATGCTGCAGGTGGCTTCAAGCCCTTTCGTGGCTGCGAAGAGCAGCAGAACTGTCGCTGAAAATCGGTGTCGTTGCTTTTGGAGCCTGGGCTGATCTACTTGTGCAGCTCTTGGGCGGGAGCTACTCGGAGTAGCATCTGTAGCACCTCGGGCCAGCACTTGTAGCCAGGAGCAGTAGCATCGCTTTGCCAGCTGGATCAGGAGCAATTCTCGCCGCATGTGAGAAATCTGGCATGTGGTCCTTGGCCCTTCAGATACTCCGAAGTCACTCGGCGCGGACGAGCAACAACTACGTGGCCGCGTGAAAACCTGCGATCTGGAGCGTTGCATCGGTCAATTCAGGTATGACTCTTGCATCTGTGGAAGAAAATACGATCACCTGCAATAGTGTCCTCAGTGCCTGCGAGAGCTCATGCTGCAAATGGTGCTTGCTGTTTGGAATACCGGGTGCTCGTACATGCAAAGACACATCAGCCCCAGCCAATGAAGGAAGGCTGGCCAATGGTCAGCGGCAGTGGCGTCTGTTGAAGCATGCCGGAGCAGGACTGGGAGCCGCATGGCGTCACTGCTGCGAGGCTTCGAAAACGTCTTGTGAGCAACGCGCCAACTGTGAAATGCTTGCGGCAGTTGAGGAGGGTCGCTACTGATGCGCGCCTTGATTGAAATTATGCTTTATCTGCCGCAACACTGGGTGCAGTTCAAGCCTCCGACCGTACACAGAATCCGGGGCGTGAGGTTGTCGCAGAACGCCGTGATAAGCGCCTGTGAGAAGGCCGATCTGAACTGTGCAGCCAACTTGATGCATCTTTTGCTTTGCCTCAGACTTTGCGTTGCCGGTGCAGATAGTAGGCCTTGTTACTGTAATTAGGAATCGTTCGGTCGCTGAGGGAAGCAACAAGCCAAGAAACACTCTGCCTGTCGATGGGCAGGCTTGGCACTGGCGGATGGCAACGATGTTGCTTCCAGGCTCCGATGAGGCATCGCTGGTTGACTAAAGCTTGAAGCCTCTCCTTCCCAGTAGGACAGACGGGTTCGAAGCCGCACATGACGGGGTCGCTGCGCCAAGGTCGGCTGCAACGCCGCCATTTCCGCTTGCGAGAAGGTGCCGTAGGACAAGTCAGGAGTGCTCTCAAGGCTTCATGCGCAAGACTAGAGACAAAAGTGCTGGAAGATACTGGCTGGGCAGGTCTCGGGCTGGCACCTTGCTGGTGCAATTTTGCCGCCCAGCATTGTTGGATTCGCTCGTGGAGTGGGGGCCGTCAGCTCCTAGAGGACGTGAGAATCAGGTGTGGCATGCCCTGGCGACGTTTGCTTCCGACAGACTCGGAGCCAGCATTGGCTTTTGGATCTTGCGGTCGACTGCATGCACCTGCCGCGCTCTCATGTCGAAGCTAAGGAGGTGAGCCACAGCTCAGCGCTGACCTCCTATGCGAAGTGCCAACTCTGGCAAGGCTCGCTGAGTCTTCTGAGACTCGGCTGATGTGAGCGGCGAACTCGCGCCGAACTCCCTTGAAAGCAGAGCTCCTTTGAGGAGATCTATGCGGCGAGTGCTGCTCATCCCGAACGCATTCACATACAGCGCAGCTGCTGGGCGGAGAGAATTTTCCGCTGCTGCGCAACTGTCCGCCACGGTGCTTCACACGAGAGGCTTTGACTGCATGTGCCTCGCCAACGACTTGGCAGCAGGCGATTCATCCAATTTCCTTTTCAGGAACCTACGTAAGTAGGCAACCGAAGTTTAACTTCGGCGTCGGTGTGTGTGTGTGTGTGTGTGTGTGTGTGTGTGTGTTAGATTCAGATACCTCTGCAGGCAGTTGGCCTATTGGAAGACATGCGTTCAGACAAGGCGGGCCCGGCTTGCTGTGTAATTTGTAGGTTGGTGATGTCAGGAAAGCATCCAAACGGAGGTCGTGCCAGGAGGCGATCTTCTGGTGGCAGTCACATCGGCCTGCAGCGTTGCCTCGCAGTTCGGAGCGGCCAGGAGCTCTGTTCACCCTTGCCAGCCCGTCAAGCACATGCTGCGCCTGCACCTGAGGCTCTTGACCTCCTGACGGAGACGGAAGAGTGGTTGACGGACAGCCGAAGGTTTCGTACACTTGTAGAGACTGCTACCCTGTTGAAGGCCTGTGCGACACTGTGGTGTCTCCTTCAAACGAACCCGGGGGGGGGGGGGGGCTAGCCGAAGGTTTTCACATGGGATGGATAATCCCTGATTCTGGTTCTATTCTAGTTACTAGTTGCTTATGCATGAATGTCGAGGGGATTGGAGGTTTATGAAATCTTCAGAACTCGCAGCCCTTGGACCCCTGCACTGACTGTAAAGCGTGATTGGGATCTGGCACACTGGGCTCCCGGAGTTATTTAGATGATCGGCACGATCGGGCTGCTTCGGAAATCACCAGCAGAGTTTTTGCAGCAAGGACTTCCTCAGCGACTGCAAGCGGCGTTGAGCGGGCATTTCGTGCCATGCTCACCGACTCCATCGTGGGTGAGATGATGTGAGGTGTTTCGGACACGGGTCGCGAGAAGCTGCACTGGGAGGATGACCCCGAATCTCGGAGAAGGCAATCAGTTCGAGTTGCTTTTGTTCCGCCCAGCTCTCGAATGATGCTCTCTGCATAAGAAAATTCAGCAGAAGCCCCCAGCATGATCGTCCGCAGCATGTCTCCTCAAGGGAGGGGTGCTCCGGCCACAGGCAGAGGTGAACTCTACGTGCATCCTCATGGATGGCACAGATGGAGACACCTACCCTGTCTTCCCTTCCGTGCCAGAAGGTGCAGCGCCGCAAGTTATCTTGCATGGTACAGACATGCAGCATCCACATGAAAGTGAGCCGACGAAAACTGCATGGATAGTGGACGAAAACGATCCAAGACACGACGATGTGATAGTTCAGACGATTCGAAGTGTTGACGAGAAAGAGCTGGCTCAGCCGATCGGTCGGGTCACGTTGCTCCATGGCTTGTTTTGCCAATACTCGGTTTGGTGACACTAGAGATCACTAGAGCTGCTCTGCTAAACGGCAACGTTCAATTACCACTCCAGCACGCGTCCGGGCTCAGGAACGTGACGAAAGCGACCTTCACTGTGAAGAAGCGTCGATGGGGCCAGGTGACAGCCAGCAAGGACATTGTGCGAAATGTGTCGCTGTCTATGCCTCTGGCCTGCACGTATGTTGTGTTGAGACATAGACTTTTGGTTGCTGAGCTCAATTTGCTTGAGGCAGTCTGGTCAAACTCTTGCCGTCATGGGACCTTCTGGCGCCGGCAAAACTACCTTTATGGACCTGCTAACCCTGGAGGGGTCCAGCGGTAGCCGAACTGGCTATGTAGACCTCAATGGCAAGGCCATGACACCAGAAGTCTTCAAGCAGTACTGCGCACACGTGCCACAGCATGATCAGGGATGGCCCTTCCTGACCTGCTACGAGACCGTGCAGTTCGCAGCCGACTTCTTTGTCAGGGCAAACGTATCCGAAAGGCGTGCCAGGGCCGATGGAATCCTCGAGACGATGGGGCTGCAGTCCTGTCGCCACACACGCGTCGGCAACGAGTACGTCAAGGGGCTTTCCGGCGGCCAGCGGCGTCGCCTGAGCCTGGCTGTGGCATTCATGAAAAACCCCCTTGTAGTCTTCCTGGATGAGGTCACCTCTGGCCTGGATGCAGCATCGGCCGCCAGCATCACCAAGTTTCTCCAGGAACTGGCACGCAGTGAAGATGTAATCATTGCCTGCACGATTCACCAGCCTTCCGCACGGATCTTCAAAGGATTCGACAAGTTGTTGCTTCTCTCTGGTGGCCGCGTCGCCTATTCAGGGCCGGTGGAGGATGCTGTGGAGCATTTCCAAAAACTCGGCTTTTTGATTCCGGACCACGAAAATCCAGCGGATTTCTTTCTAGACTCTATTAATGCAGATTTCACCTCGCAAGACGCAGTGGAGAAGGTCTTGGCAGCCTGGGAGTCGCAACCCTTGCGGGTCGGGAGCGGCTCCTTTGATTTGGATGCTGACATTAAAACGCACGCAGGCCAGCACTTTCTCGTCGAGGTGGGTTAGGGCCGAGTTGGGTTCGTCGGCTATTGCTCGCTCTGTGAAATCAGGTCTTCTGGCGAGGGGTTCTTTTGAATGCCAGTGTATCCAAGCTTGTCTGTCTATCTGGCGAGGTTTGGGTGCTCTTTCGTCGACTGGTGTTGCTGGCGATCCGAGACCCGACAATGTACGTGAGCCGAATGGTGGTTTTCCTTCTCTCGTGCATCTTCTTCTCCATAGTCTACCTCAAGTCCCGCGAGCGCACTCAGACCCAGATCCTTCAGCGCATGTGGCTACTTCTGTGGTCGCATGTTTAAGAACTTAAGGGAATGAGGTGATCGGCTGGTGCTCGATTTTCATAGGTTTTTTGTGTGCCTTTGTGGCGATGGTAGAACGGCGGTTGCGTGTCGCAGTCGATGCATTTGTGACCAGGCACATCGGCGTTCCGGCTTGCATGTCGCTGTCGACCTGCCTCGCACAGAACATGGAATTTGTGTCAGTGAAGCGCGAGGTCAAGTCAGGCATGTACCGGCTCAGCCCTCCGTGCGCAGAGGAAGTTTTTCTTTTCCCGACACCGATCTTAGCTGTCCTCCACTTCAACAAAGCGTTATTTGTCACCCTCCTTGGTCGATCCCAGGCTCGTACCTCATCGCTCAGCACCTGATACAGATCCCAATGCTGGTCGTTCTCAGTGCCACCGCCTTGACGATCAGTGGGTACGGCATGTGCGGCTGGAACTGGGATGCCTACCCGGAGGTTTTGCTAGTGCGTCTCGGTAGAGTTTCCATGCTGTTGCAAGCCTGCAAGCATGCCTCAACCCAAAACAGTCCATAGGACTAAGTTTTTTATATTAGATGTTCTCCCATGTCTTATCACCAACCCAGAATGCATAAAGAACCTGTGTAGTGATTCCTTGAGCCCAGGCACTCGTTGCTGCTGTTCTTCTTTGACTGCGCGGCACAGCTCTTTGCGGTGACCTTCAGTCACCCTCTTCTGGGCCTATTCCAGGCTGGGTTGTGCTCAAACAATGTGAGTCTCGTTTGTGCCTAGCTGCTGCTCCAGTTGCTAGAGTGCCAATGGAATGCTTCCTTCCGAACAGTTGTCTTGTGCAGAGCATAAGTGCACTGCAAATTCCCGCAAGGCTGCCCAAGCCCTTCCATTCGAACAGGACTAGAAAGTCCATAGGCCAGTCATCGCTATACTCACCGTTGTCCGATGAACATGTTGATGCTAACGTCGCCTAGATGCCCGTTTCACCCTGCATATTGATTAGAATGGGAGCCGCGGGTGGACATACTCATGCCTTGCCTACCAGGTGATTTGCCTCTGGTTCGCCAGCTTTCTTTTCGCTGGCGTTCTCGTGTCTTGTCAGTGCGAATTGCGTCCAAATCTTTACTGTTCGCCCACAGCAACCTAAAGAAGGCCGAGGCATTGCGTTACTGCTCACATTCCTTGCAGGGCAGGCGAGCATGATAGCAATAATGTTTCTGGCGAACATGCATTGTTGAGGGTTGGGTCGAATCTATGTCCTACATGCGTAGGTATTTGTTCGTTTGTTCCTTTGCTGTTTAAGCCCAGCTCTGTGGGGATGGAGCTCCAGACGGTTCGCTCCAAGCCTGATTTGTTTCCCCAGGTACCTGAGGAGGATGTTGTTTGGCCGCTGCGGGTGTTCGCCATTGTTTCGCCCATGAAGTGGTCCATCAAGGTGCAGATCCATGGGGTTCATGCAGTCGAGAATCGGCTGTTGACTTAGGAGGCTGGTTGCCAGGTGATTTGTGTTTGTGACTCATAAGACACTCTTCTTGATGGGCATTGGTAGTTCTTGTTTCATTCCAAAACACCAGCTTAACAGAGTTCAGCAGAGTTCCAGACCCACTCAAAGGTCCACTCGAGCCCACGCGAAAGAAACTCAATCCATCTCAGCTTGAAGCGATCTTGACTCCTAATCATTATGGGAGCTCAGAGTGCTGGAATACGCTCGAGTTCTTTTCGTAGCAGTTTTGGGCTTGATTACCTGGTTACTCTGGTTGGCTTCCAGGGCAAAGCTCACCTGAAAACCTACGGAAATCACTTAAATTAAGCCCTCACAAGGTCGGGTAAAGATACCTGTCTCACATGTCACACAGCAAAAGCTTCAAAGCAGTGTTTTCAGCGCCTGCACGCGTACAAATGAATGCTGAGGGAAGGCTATCTTTTCGTCAGTCTTAGGGGCTTAGGTTGTAGCTCAACCACGGCATGTTTCCAACGCAGAGTTTCGCGAGGCAATCGTCAATGCAGAGATGCACGCGACAACGTTTGCCGGAGCAGTGTTAGATGACAGCCCTCGTGGCTTTAGTTGTCCGGGTCTCAACGAGCTGGAATGTTGGGGCGTCACCGGCGAGCAAGCTGCTTGGCGGCTGTACCGTGCTATGCTCGTACTGTCGTGGATCGAAGCAAACTAGCGGTGTCACTGCACCATTATGAAGCCAGGTGTTGACATCGATCTCGCAATCCGTCGCGAAGAACATCACGCCAGAGCGAGAACTCGGCCGTGATTGCAGCATTTTGGTTGGAATTGCTTCTCGGCAGGGATTTCGTAAGAGACAAGAGATGCTCGGTTTCTGATGTCTTTAGCAGTGCCCGGGCCTGGCGGCATGATGTCATGGCAGGCTGTTGTCTTCCGCTTGGCTTACTTCTGCGTGGCGGCCCTCAGATGCCGAACTGGTAAGGCAGTCAAGAAACCGAAGGACGGCAGCACCTCCGCGTCGAAGTTGGCGGCCAAACGGTAGTGGACTCTTTAGTCGTCTGAGCTGCATTCTGCATGCGGCTTGCAGGTCCTCCAAGAGGACATCTGTCCATAAAATCGCTGCTTCTGTCGTGGGCTGTTTTATTTGCTGTACCCCGCAGAACCACCCCTGCCAAGCAGCGGTGAAAGCTCCACCTTGCGTCTGAGTCCTGAGCACTCAGCTCTCTTTCCTTTTCCTGCCAAGGTAGATGGGCCTTGTGTCAGCCAACAGTGGTATTTTGTAAATTGCAACGTAGCAGCGCGAGCTTCTGGTTGCAGGACACACGCACATACACACATGTAAAATGCATTGAGCATGGGCTCGACCTGCCCCCGTCAGGATGCCACGTTTGTGTACGGGTTCATAAACATCGCAACAAATCCGCCGTGTGCAGTTGGCAGGCGTCGGAGCACACGGCACCAGTGAGCTTGAGCAGACGATGGTGATGTGCTCTGGTGGCGTGTCTTACGCGGCGGTTCCATAGCGGAACCAAGATATGAAGCGTGGTTCAATTGTTGCCTACATGATCTACATGTGAGGACACCTTCCACGGCTCGTGAACGTTTCACTGTGCCGTCCGCATCCGTCAAAGCGGAGCGTGAAACATCGTTTATGCACAGCCAGTCATGGCGACTTAAACGGTTGAGCATGATTGAGCTATTCATCATTCAAAGGCAATCTCTGATCAATGGTGAACCAGCATCGGTGCCCAGGAAGGAGTCGTTCAACGAACTCGAGATTCAAGGCCAGCGTCTTCCACACCTGATAGGAGCATCTAGCGACATGTCAATGTGGCATCTCTGTTGTCTGAGTTCCGATGGATTTAAATTTACAGTTTGCGTTGTTGGCCAGGCTTCAGTCTCGGTGGTGCCGCCCTCATCGCTCCAATCTCAGACTGAGTCCAGACGGGATTCTTACGTCATAGTTCTGAAGCGAGTCTCTTTGTGGTGATGTGCCTTCCCAGCACCTTTCTTTGTTTGAGACGGACGCGATTAAGCCAGAGAGCTTCAAGTGTTGCTGAGGTCGACACGATGACGGATAACACCAAGCGAACTCGTGAGGCCCTCGAAGGTGTCCTTGGTCCAAGAGGGCAGATGTCGCCTTCAAATTTCAGAGAATTTGCCATTGCGAAGCGGTCCGAGGCAGCCAGGTCACGGAATGTTTCAAGGAAGCGAACGGCCAGGCCCGGCCAGGCTTCAGCTCGTTGGGCGTGGCTTAGAGCTGGTAGCAGAGGGAGGGCTGAGGGAACGTCCGTAGCTTTGCAAGGCCATGCATGCCGCAGCTTTGACAAGAAAGCCGGTTGGGCATCTGCAAATGAAACATGACTTGTGACGCTTACTGGCGATCTTTCTCGCCAGTCTTCGAGCCAAGAGTTTGTTAGCGATCAAGACGGGACCTTCTGGGGTTTGTTAGCCAAGCAAACACACCAGAGCCGACATACTTCGGTCGAGATCGCTGTTCCGCGAAGCATGCGGCGATGGCACCTTGTCCGGGCAACGCCCAGGCACACTACCACAGCAGGGGCACGATCCAAGTTAATCGTCGAAGATTCGCTTGCTTTTTTTAATCAGTTGTGCGACAAGACATGGCAAGGTTGCTCTGCCGTTGTGTTGCTTCTGCAGCCGCCACACCGATCGAGTGGCTCGGCTGGCTTTGATGGACTGGTGCAGCATGTGTGCTCTCTCAGCAAGCGGCGTCATCCATCACCGACATATTTGCGAGAACGACATGCAGCATATCAGAACGAGCACATCAAGACTCAGAGTGACTTGTAATGAGAGTTTGCGACCAGATCGGAGCAGAACCTTGAGACATCTTGAGTCTTGAGACATGCTCAGCCACATAGACAATTCTGTGAGGATTCCAGTGCCAAGTCTTCGGCCCACGATTGTGCTGTGGCAGCATTGGAAGCTGGACAGAGGAAATGATACAGAGAGGGCTACTCCGAGACCAAACGCACCCTTCGCCTTCAACGTTGTGCTGGGAGGAGATTCCGAGACACGTTATAACATCTTACTGTGTTCAACGGTCATCCTAAACAGATGTGGCGGACATGGAGGGTCAAGCTGTTCCTTCCAGCGCGTGGGTCCCATCTGTCGCCCTCCAAACCCACAAAGCCATGGACATTGTGCCAGCTGTTGCCAGCAAAACTACTGAGCCAGCTCCAAACGCTGAAATCTACGATTGCTTGGAATCTCTGCTACAGTACTGTAGCCACTTCAGTTTTGTAAATCTCTAACGTGTTGAACGCTGGCACAGAAGTCCTTCATGAGCTGCGTTGAGCTCGACAAGAAGCCTTGGCTCTTCGAGATTGTCCAAGGCTGCAATACCACGCGATGCTGGGGCAACCTACTTCGGCACTAGCCTGCCTGCGGACAGAGGCCCGGCGTTTGAAAGCCCGGTAGCAGCGCGCGTTCGTCTCAGGGCAGATATTCCTTTTTTGTGCTGCTGGAAAGCGAGTCGCGAAGCAGCGATCCTAGAGCTCAAGCTCCCGCTCTCAGCTCTCTTGCAGGCGCGGTCTTGCCCGGGCACGAGGGCCAGTACTACCAGAGAGTCCTCCCTGCGGCACAGGCGCAGTCCTTACATCTGCTTCGGGTGATTAAAAAGTCAGCGACTTTCAGGTTCAGTGGAGTTGCACGTGTTTTAATGAAATCAATGGAAGTCTTCGGTGCTGCGTGACTCCTCGCAATCATATTATGCACCCCAACCCCACTACTTCGAAGCCACAGCCTATCTACGAACAGAAAACTCTGATGGAGGTGCCCTTTGCTTCTGAAGAGGGCCGGAGAATGTTTCGCGAAGCGCTGCTGGCGACTCTTCCCAGATCTTCACAGTTCTGTAGGGCATATGTATATTCATACCGATTTACTTTGGGTTGTGAACGCATCTCGCCGACAACAGGTAAAGTTTAGGGCCACAGCAGAAAGACTGAAGGGCAGGCTGCAGGCTGCAGACAAGCTTATGAGGTGGATCGGGAGATGTGAGGGTTCGAATTAAACTTTTCGCATGTTCGGAAGATTTCTGGAACACCTATGAACACCTGAAACACGTGATCAGTGATGAGGCTGTTGTCACAGTGATAAAATGCGGTACTTTTACTAGGCTGGAACGATGGAGAGCTACTTCTTCCTGGCTGAGCAGTTCCGGACGCAAGACGAGCCGACTTTTTGCCCCTTCTTCCAAATCATGCGTCGGGTGGCTTTCACATCCTCATACCCCGGTCGCTGCACTCAACAAGACGTAAATCCAGGAAGGCGGCAAACACAGCCGAAAGTGCACCAAGTTGGCTGCCTGCAACAGACCCAGGTGGGTTGACCACCCTGGCAATGGTTCTCAACTCCCTGCACATCGACCCCATGCGAACCTGGAAGGGAGCCTGGCGGTGGTTCAACGAGCAAAATCTTGCGCCTTGGCATGGGGTCGCTGGCTTCCGGGGCCCAGGGCGTGCACTATCGACCCTGTGCCACCTGTCTCGGATGAAGAAGTTAGCAATGGCGTCTTGCAGTTGCACCTTCTTGGTCTCGGGGTTTTCAGTTGCGTGCTCACGCAACTGGCCTTCAGAGAAGTACCGCCTTTCTGCCACTGAGGCATGCTGTACAGGACCCGACCCCTGGCTGCCAGCACATCGCTTCGGAATTGTCTGAATGTGATAGCATTTCCATATTTGCTTGACTTTCCTGGGTGGTACAGACTGTCGAATGTTGGCTGCATGCGCTTGCAGTCCAAGGAGCGGGTCCGAGCCGAAGGACTGTCATTTGCCACTCGGATGGACGTGCGCAAGAGAAGGGTATAGGGCAGCACGGGCAGCGTAGCTGAACCCTGGCACACCTCGGCAGCCTCGGTGGTGCACATAGCCGTCGCCAGCAGAAACTGTAAGGACATGTTTCGATCCCTCGCTGCCTGCAATGGCGCAGAGGCGCCGCCAAAGCAGCGTAAGCAGAGCTTTGGCTCGGCCCTCGGCCCTCGGCTCTTCTCCGGTTCTGCTGCGCGCAGGTCCAGGCCTGGCGCGCGCCCAGCGCCGAGGCCGGCGAGGCGCGGCCCGCGGCGCCACGGGCACCGCGTCACGGGATGTCACGCGGGTGGCCACCGGTGACGCTGCAACCAGTCAATGCACCATATAGTGCAACGCTTGCACAGACCCTTGCAGGCGGCTGCCTTTGCTGCGGCATTCCGTGAAGCTGCTCGCAGCATCAGTCAGAGCTCCGAGCGCCAATGCAGCCCGTCTCAAGATATCTCGCCCCGCTGCGGTCCTCCGGCCTTCCGCGTCCTCCTGTCTGTTATCCTAGGAGCGCGGAATGTGGATTCATGTGGGTCCTCGGGTTGTTCTGGATCGTTTTCCATCTGCTGACCGAAGGTCTCGTGGTTTGCTATTCCCGGGAGTTTCTGGGCCAGAGCGGTGCAGGCCACTTCTCTCCAGTGGGTGGCCAGGGCCTCGAAGTGATGTGCCGTTCCTGCAAAGTTTGTTTGAATCGATGGTTTCAGCCTAACTCGACTTCCGATGATCAGCTCTCCGGCATAGCTGGGGCTTGGAACGTTCTCCATCAACTTTGCTGGAAAGTAGAGCCTCTTCCCCAGGATACCATGAAGGCAGCGACTCGGTGCTGGTGATGGATGTTGCCCGATTCAAGCAACTGGGCCGCCACTCATGCTTGCCCAGTAGACCAACAAATGCTTTGCCACAAGATGTTGCCGTATGTTTGCCGAAGAAGGCTTCATCTTCACCGATGTGAGGTATCCTCCTCACTGGGTGCCATTGGAGGATCTAGCAACAAGTATGCTGCAGGCGTGCGATGGCGTGCGACTGTGAAACAGTTGCACAAGGCAAAATGACGTCTGCTGGTTTGTCTGTCAGATCGACCACGACACGAACAAGCCTCGCGGCTTTCTTCAGCTGCGACTCCCACAGTCACTTGGCCGTGGGAACATGTCATGGTTTAGTGTATTTTGCTAAGCTCTTCTAGGCAAGCTCCAGGGGCGTCCTGTGCCGTCTGGTTGGACGACTTTGCAGCCCAGGCGAGTTCGGGCTGCTGGTGGTGCCGCTCCGCCGCTGCGTGCTCCTTTCGCAGCTTTGACCAGCATTGGCACATTTGGCATACTAGGTCACTAGGTCCCATGTGCGAAGGGCTACTGTAGCTTAGCTATCAGGTGCCCCCAGCAGCTGGCCGACTTCTCTCCGAGGACACGTCCAGAGCTAGATTTTTGGTCTCCTGGCGCAGTCCCCCTGCAGTGCACAGGGCTTCGCCAGCAAACTAGCAGATTTGGACGTGGAGGCTGGCCGTGAAGCGGAGCTTAGACTCAGGAATTCAACATGTCACTGAAGTTTGAACCTTGTCCACTTCCTGCGAGGCCTCAGGGTGCCCGCTGCCAGCAGCGGATAATGCCCACGTAGCCCGGGCCTTCAGACCGTACAGCACATATCATCTTGTTAAGTGCCTTCGAAACACAATATTCGTCGTGTCGTTCATTCTTCCGAGACTCATCTGCACGCGAGTGCCAGTTCGAATTGCGTGCGGGGACAATCAGCACAAGAGATATGCACACGTGCACATGCAGGCGCAGGCATGTACGTGCCCTGTCCGTGCGCATACTGGTATGCTGCTTGATTAGGCCGGCATTCATGTCAAGCACATATCCTCTCTGATCTGCATGAGTTTTAAAAATCAGGCAGAAGGCTCCTAGTCCCGGAAACAGAGAGAGCAAAACGGAAGCCGGATGAATTTTCGGATTTTGCATGCCTGTATGTATAAGTATTATTGTATATGTGTCTCCTGATGTGTGCTTAGGTGGCTGTATGTGTGCATGTAAGTGACTAAGCATGTATGCATGGATTTATGCCTGTCTGTCTGTCTGTCTGTATGCATGTATGTATGTATCTTGTTGTTTCCTGCTGTGTATGTAAACGAATCTACACGAAAATTTGATGTTGCGTTTGGTTTCTCTCACTCCCACTTCCCCTCTCTCCCTCTCCCTGTCCCTCCCTTTCTGGCTGGGTATGTGCGGGACACTTCCGGGACAAGTATGCTGTAGGTACAAGGGTTTGCGACGGCCGGTCTTAACAACGAAGAAACCATGGCCCAAGGTTTCCATGAGGAGGTTCCTCACCACCGTGGCGGCCGTGGAACCCCAGGCGCGCCAGAGTCGATCGACGGAGTCTTGGAGTATTGCGGTCAGATCGGGTCCTCACTACCGAAGCCAGTTGTCGTTTAGGCCCAGACCTTTCCATTGCTTTCTTCCCGTTTCTGATGCAGGAGTTCCTAAAGGTGTCATGTTGAAACCTATCCCGATGCGAGCCTCGCTGAGAGGTTTTTGGACAGCTTCTGCAAGTCGGCGATGTGGCGGCAGTTACAGAGGCGGGCCATACCGGGATGAAAAGTGGAGAGGAGAGGCTCACAGCTTCCGTAAGCGAGCTCAGGTCTTCAACCGCTTGGCCTCCTACCAGCCGTTTCGGGACCTTTGCGAGGCCCGCTGTGTCCTTTGCCTTAAAAAGGCTAGCATCGACGGATGTCGGCAACAGGCATACGATGTGGCAACGCGCGATTACTGCCGAGAAGTCGGCGCCAATTTTCCTCCGCTTCGCTACATCAAGGCAGCTGACGCGCCTTCTTGTCGTGGGGAGACTGATGTAAAGATGCGCAGGTGTGCAGAAGTCGCTTGTTTCATGGCAATTCTGCTCTCTGTGAGAATTTTTTAAGACATGCTGCAACAGCCCTTCCGATGGTGTCCGTCCTTTCCTGCCTGAACTGTCTGCCAGCAGGTGGCACGCAGCAATGGTCGAAACGGCACAACCCATATCGCCACTCGGAAGTTGTATGTTATCATTCGAGATCAGGGTTCAGTCGGCACTGTAGGTTTGCTACGTATATGAGCGCCATGGGGCGGTGGCATTGACTGAGGACGGCAGCGAGGACCTGACGCCCTGGTCCTGTGGCGAACTTTGGGTGCTGCCACTCGATCGACCGTTCCTACACGGTTCTGTCTCAGAGCATCTGTCTCCTTGAGGGGCGTGACATCATATCATGCAGCCCAAGGGCTCTGAGAATTAGGTCTGCACTTGGTGCACTTGTCCATCTAGTACATAAGCTTCAGGGCGGGAGACCACTCGCTTTGCAGTGGTCGTGACGGCTTACGAATTACGCCAATTTCTGGTCCAACAAGCTCGTAGAAAGCAGTGCGGGGTTAACGTGCCGTGCCTTAGAACATTTTCAAGCCTCTCATGCCGGCAGGGTGCTTTTTTGTGTTGAGCACTCACCTGGGCTCAATATCTAAGGTTGCTGCTCCTCCTGCCAGAACACATGCAGGCACGTATCTCCTTTTTGGGGGTCTCTCTCTCTCTCTCTCTCTGTCCTCTTCGTGGTCTTATGCCATCGGACGACAGCTGGACGGTCGCTCTTGCTACGAGTACCGCCTGAGTTTCCGCGCTAAGCTTTTCACGATGTCAGGTGGCAGTGTCCCCCGACATTGTGTACCAGGGCTTGGCAAAGGCAGCCGAGAAGCTTGCCAAGCTTGGACAGTGTGTCTCTCATATTTTCAGTGCGGAAGACTGCAAGGGCCTGACACGGGCCGTGCGCGGACCATGGGCTTTGCCGCTGGAAGCGCTTCGACGCTGTGCCGCCTTGGACACTTTCACTGACGGTGACACTGGAGTCTTGTTTGGTATGCGAAGTGTGTTGGCAGACATTGGCAGCTTGCCAGGCTCAGGTCCGGTCAGGCAGGGACACGTTGGTTTGACCTGTGCTGAGGCGAGACCCTGAGCCACATACTGCCACAGGCCAGGCAGAGACGGTGCGTCAAAAAATCGGACCAGGCTGTCGATGTGTGAGCTTGTGCAGATGCAGTTTTCAGTACTGCAGAATCAATTTTGGCAATTGCCGAAAGCCTTTCGCGACAGCAGTGCTACATGCCGAATTGTAAAGTGTTGTAAGCTGGCTAGCCCCGATGGCTGGCACATGAGGCTGCTGTTTCACCCCATAAAAGTTTTAACCATTGTCTATGGCTGACTGGGCAGGCATTAATTCCGACTGAAGCATTTCGTTCCAGCCTGGATGTTTCCCCTCTAACCAAGGCAACGCAAGAGACGAGTGATCTCATCATATAGATTGTAGATGCTTGTTCGAGCATGTTCGGCTGCTTGGTTGATGATTTGCACCCGGATGCAGATTGAGTGTTCGTCTGGGGCCACCCGTCACTCAGAACTCCAAGACCATGTGAGCAGCATGCGTCATTGAACGCAAGAGTTGGGGTTACTGCTTCAGCCCAGGGTACCCCGATCAACACTCGTCTGGTTATAGGCCGAGACCGCAAAAGGACATGAAAACATATCGCGAGTCCTCCAGGGCAGCTGAGCTGCACACGTCAAGCTGCCAGCCTGCTAAAGCTCAGCACGCAGATCTCGCCATAAAATGTTTGCAGATTCTAGTGTGCCCAGAAGGCCAGACTGCATCTTAGTCCCTGGCTCTGCGAACCCACTCCAAGTTCCTCGGGCCCTTAGCAGGTGCAACCATCCTTGCCTTGTAAAGGTGTCAAAGGTGGGCGACCACGTTTTCCAGAAAGTGGGTTTCGAACTCAGGTCGACGTGGATGCGAGCTTGAATGTATGCGGCTGTGAAAGACTTCGGTACGATTGAAACATCCACATGTCGAACACTGCTCGTAGTATCGTCCAGTTTGCTGGCTTGATCGCTAATTACTCCTTCGGACAATGGTGCTATAGTGGACGCAGCTTGCTGGGAGGTGTGCTGGAGTTTGAAGAATCCGACGAGGAGAAGGTGCTTGAAGACTTGCGCTCAGTCGGCTAAGGCCCGTAAGACTGTAAGCCCTATCAGCCTAGTCCAAGTACTTCGAACCCGAGAGCGAGTTGCGAGAGCATAGTCTGAAACATGGACGCGGGGCCAAGCCGGAGCCGAGGCCTCGATGGAGGCCGATGCCGAGGTGGAGGCAAAGCGCTGCTTCGCTGGGCTATGTGCGGTTCCTAAGTGCTGTTGCCTTGGAAGGACATTGTGACACGGGAGGATGGCATTGTGGAGGCTGGCATGACGGGGAGCAGCTGCAGTTGTTTGCGAGCATCCGTTTGACCTCATGCAGCAAGCACTCGTGGATGGCCGTTCTATGCCGTTCTCGTCCTGTAAGGGTTCCCATAACAACGTGCAGCAATTAATGATGAAGAGCAGCGCCCTAGAAAGCCGAAGGAAGTGCACACAGGACGCGCCGCGCCGTGATGCAATAGGATCGCAGTTCCGTTCGGAGCTGATGGATGGACGCATCGCTGCCACCCGAGCTGCCAAGTGTCCTGGATCCCGAGGCCATGGGCAGTGAGAATTCTCACCTGCGAATGCCGTGGAGACTCAGACCCCGAACCGAGTCCCCTTTGAGGCTTGCTGTGGTGCATGTTTGCTGAAGCTCAATGACGGCGCGGTCGACGGAGCGGCGGAGGCCAGCTGGCAGACCTTGGTTTTGGTCGGGTGCGAAGACGACACCAGAAATCTGAAAGAGTCAGAACCTGCATCGGAGGCCTCTGCATCCGTTGCAAGCCGCTGCTCCGAACGCTTGCGGTTGCGAGCAAAGGTAGCGGCAGCCCTCGAGGGTCGGCTGGGAAGTGGGACCTAAAAATTTCACAGAACGGTGAAACGCTAGGCCGCTCTGCACGTGGTCTGTCAAGTCGTTTGTCATGTGGGAGGCTGCCTGCATCTCTTCCACTTGCGGTGCATCCAAGTGTGGGCTGGAGTGGAGAACTCTTGCCCACAGTGCCGCTTCCGCTTTCGCCGCTTCGGCGAGTACAGCCTCGTGTCCGGTCAGCGAAGGATTGCCGCATTACACACTATTTCGCCGTCAGCCTTGACAACCTTTAGGATCGTTTTAATGTTACCCATGCCCCAGCTTGACAGGAGAATATGTGAAGTGCAGCACCGCGATCAGGTCCGTCAGTCTTTCAGGTTAAAGTCTGGTTGGGCCTGGGCTACAGGGCCGTACTTCTCCTACAGCTGCTTCAGAATTAATTCCAAGCAAAATTAGGCTTGCGCGGTCCGGAAAGAGGACCTGCAGGATCAACATGCTTCATGGTACTTCGCAGCCTCAATGGGGTACTTAAGGCAGCATAAACATCTCATCTCCTTGGTTCCCTCCCCGTAGGTCGGCGACTCCAGCGCCGAGTCCGACATCACGTGCGATGTGTGCGGAGGAGCCGGCGAGGCAGAACTATTGCTCCTTTGCGATGGATGGCGAGGGCGATGCCCCGGCGCGTGCCACACGTTCTGCGATGGCTTGGGCCGGACAGTCCCCAGTGGACGTTGGTTCTGCCCGGCATGTCGCAGCCGCCAGCAGTCTCGCACTCCTCGGCCGGCCCCGAAGGAGCGCCCAGGGCATGGTAAGGGTCGTGGAAAGTCGAGACATGCGCGGCAAGCTGAGGCCTTGCTTAGCGCACAGGTTCCGCAGGCATCGTCGGCCACCTCCAGAACTAGTGCGACGGCAGCTGTCGCAGAATCCGAGAGCTCCGAAGCTCGGCCAACGAAGCGACCGCAGGCTTCGCCGATGCAGGTTGACCTGAAAAGAGATCCCGACGAAGCCATCAGCACGCAGTCGATCAAGCGCGAAGTTAGTGCAACTTGACAAACAGTTGGCCTGCATGTCCAGTCTGATCTCCTACTTGTAACAACTTCGGCATTGCAGCGCACCATGCCAGGCATGAGCTGACTCATGCTCACAAAACGCTTCTTTTGTGGCTGTCTTTGAAGGCCCCAACCCTCGCAGCCGCGGCTGCAGAGAGAGTGCTTCCAAGACATCCTGCAGAATCGGAGCTTTTGGAGCTTGGCGGTTTCCTCCCCGAAGAGACACCGAAGCCGCCGCACGCTTTCGCCAAGCTTAATCCGAGCGACGCATCCATCGACCTGGACAGTGACGAGGCCCCGGAAGCACCGCCCCCACCACGCCGTGACTCGACATTGAAGCCTTTGCAGCACTTGCTATTCTTTCCCCTCGATGATGTGTTCACAGAGCTGATGGACGTTGATTCGGCTTTGGCACACAATTACCTGAGTCTCAGGTCCCTACAGCATCCTGCAGCTCCCCCAGCAATTTGAGGCCTGCGCGGAACAGCTGCGCAAATTTGCGGCTCGGCTCTGCGGCAGCTCATTTTGTGCCACCACTAGCAGTGCCTTGTTGGAGCAAGGCCTCAACATATTTCCTGTGCGAGCGGAGCATGCCCCTGGCGGCCCGCACTGCAGAACGTATGTGGCAGCTTTCGCAGGCTTGCACTGTATCGTGTACAGAAGTCAGAATTACAGCAGATGTTGCAGCATGCCAGGTGGGGGACTGCCCACGTGGACTGGCAGACGACATCGAGACTCGTTACCGCCAGCTACTCCATGTCGCAAGGGACAGCTTCTGGGCTATTTTGCACAAGCTTGGGCCCTTCTCTGTGTTCTGACGGGTTCCATCGTCAGCCGGGTCCATGCATTCTCCCCCCAGAACTTGTCGCATGCCTTCGAACGCTGTTAGCTGCTACTTGTAGGTGACATCGCATGGATGCCGGAGAGGAGTGCCCCCTGAGGCTTCGAACTCTTCTGGCAATCTTCTTTGGATCCGGCTGACGATGACCCATGTGGGCTGCGGTGCTTGCGGAAGAAGGATGGGGAGCACCGTGGCGTCGAATCTTTATGTTCCGCTGCTTGGGGACTGCTGCAGCCGCGACTCCTGGGCTGTTGATGGATGTTCCACAGAACGTCTGGGTGTTCTGATCATGTCTTGGAAAGCCGTTTTCTCCGCGGTAGGTATTCTTGGTGTCTCAGAATGATCAACATGCGGAGGAGCAGCCTCTCCTGTGCGTGCGCTACAAAGGCGCCGCGGGCTTGTCATGCAGAACCTGAGCAGTGCTTATGGGACCCCGTCCGAAGGCAGGCGAGGGAAGCGTGGCCGCATTCGACCCTCAGACATTGTCCGCTGTGAGCTCCAGTGCCGCCGCAGGCTTGGTGAATGGTACAAGAGTACGACACGAGTGAGATGGTGTAACAGTTTAACTCCTACGACGTGACATCTGACATCCATTAGCCAGTCCGTGAGTTCGAAGTGATGGCTCTTGATAGCTCAAAGCTTCTGGTCATGGTGTGCATGTGCCACAGTATACCAACCACAGACCTGTGCCGCCCGTTCTTTTGGGAGGCTGCTCGAGCTTTTGGATGGCGGCTGTGGCCCAGGATCCAGGTTACCACTTTGCGAGCTGCCGCCCCGGGAGGGAGACGCCAACCAGCAAAACCACGCATGCCCATTCGCTTAGTGTTGTGCACACGTTCCAGTCGGCGTCGAACTTTGCCAGCATCCAAGGAACTCCAAAATCTTCCCAGAGCGGCGCAACTGTCAGGTTCGGGGCAAAGTCGAATTCCGAAAAAGATGGAACTCCCGACGTTTCTGCGAGGCGACAACATCCCACCTGCTCGCGCGGCCGTTGCAGTGGACAGACTCCCGGGCACCGCAGGCGCAAAGCCCCGGCTGGACGGCATCAATCTTCTCGAGAGCCTCAAGGCGGAGCCTTGGTACGTGGGCCAGGCAGTGCATGTGGCGCAAGTTGGGTCGCGAGCCGCGAATTTCGCCTACCCGAATGCTGAGCTGCACCCTCTTTTGAAGGAGGTGCTGCGCGGGGTCTTGCAGGATGCGGGCTCTGATGGCTTGAAGCTGTACAGCCATCAGGCAGAAGCCATTGATTCCATCATGATCCAGAACAAAGATGTGGTGATCAGCACTTCTACCGGGAGCGGGAAATCTCTGGTGTATGTGGTGGCCATTTTTGAGGCCCTGCTTCGCGAGGAGAATGCAACAGCCTTCCTGATTTTTCCGACCAAGGCTTTGGCACAGGACTCGCCACGACGTAGGCTGCACATGTGCCTGCATCATTCCTTGTTGCATTTGTTGTACTACTACTTTCGGGGCAATTACATTCTGAAGGATTCCTGTTGTTAGATCTGCTTAGCGGTCCCAGTATCTGACTTAGTTCAACTCGCGCACATTCGGTGCATCCGAATCGGTTCTAAAGGCGTACCTTAGCTAAGGAGGCATGAGCCTTGCAACAGCCGCCGGCAGGCAGCACGTGTTGGTCAGTTGTCTCGGCGCTTTTGCCGCACTGCCGCACCGTACCAGCAAAACCCGACGGTGAAAAGCCGAGAGGACCAGCTTCGCTCTTTGAGCAGCGTGGCGCAGGGGCTCTCCCAGCGCGGAGTTGCACCGGAGAGGCGAGGAGTATACTTGTAGCCACCGTGAGAGTGAGAGTCAGTGAGAGGTGAAAGTGAGACACTGGCAAAAGCGGGAGGCTCGCGATAGCCTGTCTGGATGGTGATACGCCTAGTGCTGAACGAAACCGCGTTCGATGTTGCTCGGTGGCAGGGTCGTCTTCGGATGTTTGCATCGCCTTTTGTGGAAGGAATGCACCAGTTTTCAAGGGATGCTCTGCTCTGCGAGGCGAGGCCCGGGTCGTGCTGACCAACCCGGCTTCTTTTCGGCACAGTGTTTTTGATGGCCGCGTGGGCCGTTGCGTTTCTCGTTGCCAAGGACATGCTGCACAGTCATGTTCTTCCCCAACACGTGGAATACGCTCGGCTCTTGCAGAATGCCCGCTTCATCGTGCTGGACGAGGCATGGGAATGGCTTCAGTCCCCCAATGCTGACGCCAATCCAAGCAAGCAGGTCCACATCTATCGCGGAGCTTTCGGAGCGCACGTATGCAGCATCATTCGGAGGCTGGAAGATGGAGAGGTGTCCATGTTGTTTTCCTCAGTTCATGGACTTCCACTCCATCGCTCCGTAGGACGTTCACACACAACACCATACCGCATCGCTTGTATCGTCAGGCTCCGTCGTCTCGTGGACGAGGCTTCCCTGCGTTTTGTGGCTTGCTCTGCAACGGTGGCAAATCCAGGGGAGTGCCCTGGCTGCCTGGCTTATGTTGTAGCCGACGCGTGAATTCATGAGCCTTCGCTGCCGGCCGTGGCCGTGTCGTCGCATGCAGGCACGCGCAGCGCCTCTTTGGCCCCGGCCGCGGGGATGTGGCCGTCGTTGCACGAGATGCTTCCCCCAGCGGTGGTCATGCACCTTGACGACTTTGCGCCATCGGAAGATGAGCTCTCGTCGCTGTAGTAGTTCATCGCCTTGCAGATCGTATGCGATCAATAGTGCTGTAATTGTACGGTGTCGTACTAGGGTTCGTCAGGAATACGGGAAGCTATTCCAAGCTTGTGTGTTTGGAGCCAGAATCTGAAGCAAAGATAACTAATAATAAATAAAGTACTGTAGTGTCAGATGCCGTGAGGGAGGGAATGCACCGGATCGTGCATGGCTTCCCTGACTGAAGTTGCTCCAAGGTCTACGTTCTGTGGAATCCGGCGTCCTTGGTCAAAGGCTCGAGAGCAAACTCTGATTCGATATGATTCGATCTGGTAGATACTTTGTGAGTCCCAAACCTGTTTTAGATTGAGGGCCTGCAGCGGCTGGGCAGCAGGAGAGCTGTGCAAAGTTACCTGACGTCCGGCATTGTGCCGCCTGTCTGTCTGAGTTTGCCGTGAAGGAGGCAAAATCCTCACCTCCAGCGGCCAAGCGGATGCGCACCGAGGCTTGCGGAGTGGGTGTGTAACGGTCCCTGCCCTTGGAGCTATACGGCCCGACCAGGCGATGGCATCATTGGACGCTGTGCAGATCGGAGACGGGGAGGACCGCACGAGCACTTTCGATCCTACGAGCAGTCCTTAACCTTGGCGGTTGAATCAGTACTATTGGCTTTTTCTTTGCAAGATGGTGCAGGCATCTCGAATCTATTTCCTTCTCGGGGCGTCTGGCAAACGTGACTCTACGTCGTAACATGACACTTGGGATTGCTGAGTGGTTTCCTCGTTCCGTGCCGGAGAGCCTGGAGCAAATGTGGGGGCGTCGCATCAAGCGCAATACGCTGGCAAGGTAGTCAGAAGTTTCGAGAGTAAAATAAAGAAAATAAATTTCGCTTTGCATCGCTCTGCAGCCCACGGCAGATGCGTACGCCCTTTTTTGTCTTATTGCCGAGTCAAGCTTTTGTTCGATTCAAGTTCGTGTCACATCATCTAAAAAAGGTCGCCGCGGTTCCAGCTGCGAGGGCAAAGAGTGCTAAAACTCCTGCACGTGCCACCAAACCCAGAGCTGGCCGACAATGTGTTGCGATCAACCGGCTGATGCGTGACAGGAGCTGGTGTTGGGAAACTACAACCAGAGTTTGGCATCACCTATTGTGGAAGTGACACGCTTGCTCGCGTGGCTGGTTTCTCGTCGGTCGCTCAATTGGTGCCATGCTTTCAGAGGCTCGATTGTGCTTGGACCATGGAGACCTAGTTAGTGGCCTTGCGACAGCTGAGGCGACGTTTCTGTTTTGGCATTCTGCAAATGGAGGAGCGGCAGCGGGTGTCCGAATCGACAGCGGATCTCTCCGAGTCGCGATCCACTTGCTGCTGGCCAGGAGTCTTGTAGAAATCGTTCTCCAGGATGTCAAAGATGCCCTGAACGCAAGTGAGGCAGGATCTCTTTCATTTGGACACTTCGTTAGTGTCAAGGTTTGATGTTAGCACAAACTGCCCACAGCTTTGCAGCTGCTGACGTGCATTGCATTTGACATCAGAAGTGTCACATGTGGATCATATGATATATATGTCTTATCCTTCGCGCTGCAGACTGGAGGCTCCTCAGCTGAGTTCCCGTGTCGTCTCCTACCGCGCTGGCAGCTTGTCTTCCCGGAAGACAAAACCGAGATGCTATCTTGCTCTGCTTCGTATTACCAGTAGCCAAGATGCGACATTGCAGGTGGCCCTGTTCGTTTTGTGGCTTGTGCTTTCAGCGGCTTACGATTCACTGAAGGCTACCCTGCCCATCTGCGTCGCCAGTTCTTCAGCCTGCAACTGGATAGTTCTAGTCGTTTTCCTGGTGTGCCTGCTCGCTTCACTCCTTCAACAGAGGTTGGAGCGAGACATCTTCTCGCGCCAGGCACGTCACCATGTGCAGTTAAGTGCTTCTCAGCTCGCTGCAATGTTCCACGTGGCTTCCAGTGCTAACTTTCTCACGTCATCTCGTTTGGCTAGCGGCCACTGTAGCGGCTGGCAGGACTACTTGGCGTGCGCCTGTCGCTTCTTTCTGAGGTCCTCGGAGTTGCCTGCACAAACGCACTCGAGCTTGGCATCGACATCGGCCGAAGCTTTGCTGCGTTGTTTTCGAGTTTTCTACGAGATTCTACCATGGCAGAGGAACTAAGGTTTGGACTGCACGATCTCTTTGGGATTCCCAGGCAGCGTGGCATCTCTCCGCAGCTGTGCTGAACAGGGACATTGGGGCCTTCCGTTCAGCCGTTTAGAGAGCCCCAGAGGTCAGCAATTTGGCCGGGCTGGGAGAGCGGGGCATCCTGGGATCTCTTTCTTTGCCTTTCGGCTGCATCGCATCATCGTCCTTCTCTGGTACATTCGCATAAAATCTTCATTGCCAGGTTGGCTTCGAAGACCCTGTGGACCAGCACTTCATGAACCGACCGCGGGAGCTGTTGGCGCCGTGGTGGCATCTCAGTGTGGAGCCACGAAGAGTTGATTAGGCTGCAGTTTTGCAGAAGCACGGGCCGCAGACTTGCTTCTTATGAGGCACGACGCCCCGAGTCTGTGGCCGTTGCACCAAGCAATCCAGCCGCTCCTTGGCCGATACGCGAAATTCAGTATCGAAGCCCGTGGGATTTGTCTCTACCGTAAAGGTGTCCGGCTTTCCCATCCCGAAAACCCTGGAGCTCCACTGGCCATTCACAGAGACGACCCCATATTCGAGCATGCAGTAAGACCAGCAAAAAAGGTGCTTCGCGGCCACTTGCCGTGCATAGCTTCTGAGCGAAAGATCAAGGCCGAGGATGCCAGGCCGCCCGCTTTGGTAGAATTAAGGGCTCAAACATTAGAGTCATTAGAGGACAGATGATTTAAATTATGACTTGTAATTTCACGGGTATCTGCGAGAAAGCAGTTGTAGGAGGCCTCAGGATCTGGCGATCAATATTAGCGGCTGTTACCTGTTGGCAAAACAACCTCCTTAGACGCAGAAGTTGATGTTGCGCCGACACGACCCTGCATCTTGCAACTTCGTGCAGCAACCGGAGCCGGGATTAGCAGGTTCTGGCACGAGGGCGACGAGAATTCAGCCTGGCAAGCGGCAGTGCGGCAACTCGTCCATCATCATATCAAGACCACGGCGCTCAGAGTTTCGTCCTGACCATTATCGCGGGTCTGGTGTGCAGAAAATTCATTGGGACTCTGCCAGACTTGTTTCTTCCCACCGTCCCGTACCCCAGTTTTCGAGGAAGTGCATTGCCGATGGGGATTTGGAAGAGCAGCGCGAGGCCGGGACGCCTCATCTCCTCATCCGTGAAAACCGCCCTGAACTTCACGTTATGAGTACCAACCTGCAGCATCCTTGCGGGAATCCTTCCTGCAATGCAACTGCTTCGATTACAGCTTGGAGTGGTTCAGCAATTTGGTAGCAAACTGCACCGTTTCGGCTTCCGGAAGTCGCGGAATGTTGTCCATGGATGATGAAGGACAGTGGCCTTGCCCTGGTTCCGACCCGCCGCTGGGCCACGCGTCCAGGAGGATGGCGCAGTCGGCACGTCAGTATGATGTTGATATGGATGTTTGGTCTTTTGAAGTTGCGGCAGGACCCCACCGAGCCGTCTCCATCCGTGCCGTGGAGGATGCATCTGCCAGCTCTGGCTCTTGCTTAGCGCTGTAATTCTGCGTACGGCGTACAGGACCACTTCGAGGTGGTGGAAGAAGTGGCATCGCAAGAGGCCCAAGCTCAACGTGCTGATCATTCGTGCTCGTTAGGGCTTGTGTGCGATGCGGGCAGCCGGCCAACATGTCTGCCCATGTCGTACTCGTAGGATGTATAAGTACAGGTGGGTTTGGGCAGCCCGGGGCATATTGTTTTTGAGGAGGCACCGATTGGCTGTCCAGACGATTTCTGAGTGACCGAGGGGCTTAGCGCCAGCTGGCCCCAGCATCACAATTCGCATGTTGTGCGTGGCGACACACCATGTGCGAGAGTGACAAGAGTGTGCAGGCACCGGTCCATGAAGAAGGCGGTTTCCTCCAGGAACAAAGGCGCCCCTGACTCTGTCGTTATACAGCCGAGCTTCATGAAGAGCAGTTTTGCTTCGAGTGATCGTTTGAATGCAGTCGAAGTTCGCTGGCTGCCGGCGCAGTGACTGCTTTCCGCAAGCTGGATGAGATCGATATCTCCAAGGCGCGACTTGTGTTGTTTCAGTCCACTGGATACCCCCGGCCTGATTTGTGGAGCTTTTGAAGGCCTTCTACTCGCTGCATCCGGGCGCAGTCTATCGCGCCAGGGCTGAATGTGGCTGAACATCTCTGCTGTTGTAGCCGCTTCGTTTTGCGCCATCGGCCGAGAGGTTACCGCGGCTCCGAGTACTTTGTCACCAATCTTGATCTGAAACGTCGCCGTGCGACGGTGAAGAAATGTGAGACACCTTTGGCCTATTACACGCGGGCCTTTGATCACACCGAGATCCGGATCCACACGCGCGAGAAGCACGCAACCTCTGGGCCGGCGAAGCTTTTCCTGGGTAGAGTGGAAATGGAGAGCCGCGTGAAGAGCTTCAAGAGATTCTGGAAATCACAAGACGTGCAGCAAGATCCCGAAGTTGAGCTAAGTCTGCCGAGCTGGGGGTACTGTACGCGCGGCTTATGGTTCGAAGATCCTGTCGGCATAGCTCGCCGGCCTGCCGCTTGGAAAAGAGAGGCTGAAGCTTCGAGCGAATCGGCGCAGCAGTCCGGAGAGCAATGGCAATGGGGCTGTGGGTGGGCTGGGGCACATGCCGCCATGCACGCACTGCTTCATGTCATTCCGCTTTTCGTATTGGCGGATCGGCGAGATCTTGATGCCGCTTGTGTGGATGAGCACGAGACGCCCCCAATGGAAGCTTGCTCGCAATCCGCGCATGTCAGTGTGCAGCAGTCTGGCCGTGCATTCCTGCCGGTACCACTGCCACACGGCTTCGATTCAGTCAATGGCTTTATGCACCTGAAAGCAGCTCCAAGGACCACCCGCGCCTCATGATCTTCGATGCCAAGGACGAGGCTCGAGCACTTTGTAGGCTCCTCCCTTCACGTCCCTGGAACGAAATCGACCAGACCCCACCTCTTAGGCAGAAGTAGAGCGTGGTGTGAGCGTGACTGGGCCTGTCTGGGCACAGGGCCTTGGCCTTTGTGACGCGGCCTTTTGCCACGGCTTCGCAATGCTCCGAGAGGCGCGACGCCTGGTCGCTTGGCCTAGCTGAGTCGATGGGCCTCGGTTTAGGATTAGGTTTGGGTGGCAGTTTGGAAAGGTCGGTTCAGGGTTGTTCTGCTACCTGATGTGTGGCAGTATCACTGTGCGCATCTCTTCCAAAAAACTTCCTGGCAGCCGAGGTAGAGGACTGCCCGTGTCAGCACGGATGCCCTTCCTGCATCATCGACCCACATTGCCGAGAGTACAATCGCTTCCTCTCCAAGCGTGGGGCCCTCGCATCTCGGCTGTGCTTCGACGGGGTTTTGCCTCGGACCAGGCTCTGATTTGCTTTCTTCCCGTTGCCACTACCGCTACTGAAGCAGCTGCTGCTTCGATGCCGTAGGGCGGCTAGAAAACGAGGAAGCGGGGTCACTTTAAATGCTCCCACCACCTCACACAGGTCCATTGAGGGTTTGTCTCTAATCAGGCCGTTACGGCCTGGCGATACAGAATACAGCTTCTGTTATTGCCGCCAGCCTCTGTGAAACTTTTTCTTGCCGATCGCACCAGCTCTACCCATGTTCATGTTTAACAAGGGCAAGACTGTCGGACGGGGTGGAAGTAAATTGAAGTCCGCTGCAGTATCTGCGGTTCAGGAGTGGCTGCAAGGGCTGGAGTCTGGCAATCCCACAACGGGCGACGCGGAGGCCGATGCCGAGTTCGTCGATGCTACCTGATCGTGGCGGTCGCCTCGTCTGGCTCGGCTGACACAGATCAAGGCCGCAGAAACTGATGTTCGAGGCTGCCCCCGGCGAGGAACAGATGCATGCGGAGTTCTATCACTGCTTGCATGGTCATGCACAGAATCACCCAAGATGCGGCAGAACCGGAAGGACCACGTTCTGGAGCCGGCGAGTGGATCAGCAGGTTGAAACGAAGCGCTGCAGACGTCTTGGACCCGCATGAAGCCCCGTCATACACTTCTGTTCCAGATGCGAGCTTGGTTCGCGGTGTCACCCAGCCATACCGGATTGGCGTTGCACCGCCGACCTCAGCCTTAGACAGGCTGTCCAGCGCACCAATGCTAGTGACGAAAACGACCTCCGTTGTGCGTCTCTTGCAGTTCTTGACATGCATCGGCCACCGCTTACGGAATGCATAGCTGCTGCAGCTTCCATAGACAGCTTAAACTAGTTTTGAGCTTCGACATTAACAGTAAGAGTCGCTCGCCTGACGGCCTGAATGCACCAGGCCACAACTCTTCCTGAGAACTTCCATTCGGCCGTATCAGCCTTCGAAGGAGCAGGCAGGAATTGCCTGCCGTTGTTGAGCCATGCGATTCATACTCCGCTTTGGTGCTTTGGTCCTCTACCTCGTACATTGGGGTTCTTCGGGCGGTCCATCTCTGTAGCCCTGGAATTTCTTTGCAGGAATGGAGCCAAGCAAGTCCGAGCAAGTTGTGAGGGTGCAAGTGGAGGCAGGGGAGAAGCTCATGGCTCATGGAGTGTGATCAAGAACCTTTGCGACCAGGCGACATTGAATCACGAGCAAAGCTACGAACTGCTGTGCCCATGGCTGCATTATGATTTTGTAATCGGTGCGATTTGGGCTCCTGCAACCCACACTCACCAAACCCAGCGCGACGAAAGTCAGACCAGGAAGCTGCTTCACCTGTCAGAGCCTCAGGTAGATGCGTGTGCCGAAAATTCATCATAACTGCAAGACTAAGGGTTTTTCTAGCACAAATCGCGAGACCACGCACCCTGGTGACAGCTGCATGATGGAAGTGGCCACAACTGCCTGCTGCAGCTTGACTGCGACGGAGGCTTGAAGATTTGGATGACATCGGCGAAATTCACCACAATGTCAGGGCCTCAGTATGCCTCGGTCCTCCTGCACTACTTCTCTGCATTGAGAGCAGTTCGTTATACTTGACTATGCTTACAAAGTGTAGGAGGCACCCATAGGCATCCCGAACCATGGTTCGTTAATCGGCCGCACATCACCGGATGTCAGCGAAGCAGGGCCCTGATTCAGGCGGTCTTGGCCGATGATGTTGAGCTCAAGCTCGAACCTCAGCTTCTTTCGCATGATTGTTTCTCTCGGGCGTGGAGTGTGTTTCTTCAGGGGGATAATTTGGAGGCTACCTAGACCTGTGCATGCACGTCTTCAAGTCTTCCGTTGATGGGTGCTGCTGCACCCTTTATGTGCCTGGCCACGAGCCTCCCGAAGCGCCCTTGGCGCAAGCGACCATGGCAAGCCCTCGGCCAGCCCTCGGCCTGTGCCTGTAGGTTTAGCAACTACGGCGTTCCCTTGGCATACAAGAGCGCCTACAAGGAGTGAGGCTCGCGCTCTCCCGTGTCGGGCCGGAGGGAGCCCGTCCCTAAAGCCAGGGCAAGGCTCCCAGGCCGATTTTTTCCCGTGCTTGGAAAGGCCCATCCGGAAACCCCACTGTTTGGGTCCTAGGCGTACCCGGGTCAGCAATTTTCGTGGCAGCCGAGATGTAATATCGCTGCGAATGCGAGTAGAACATCGCGGCAAGATGCCCCCAAAGGCAAGGTGATGAGACTTTCGAGTGCAAGAGATGTACGGCAGACATACAGTATCGCCTTCGGCTGTTTTGCTTGACACATCCTTTGCCTATCCTTCCAAAGGGCAGAGCGAAGAATCCGATGCGAACAAGAATCTACAGCAGCAGCATTGCAAGGGTTGCCGTCTTGTTGATATGATTGGACCGTTGTTTGACAGGATTTGTATAGGCACGGGTGGTCAATGAAACTCTATTTAACATCTACGACCGAGTTCAAGGTTTCTGCTTTCCTGAGATCGGCACTGAGAGATTGGGCCGAGTTTTCACTTTCATGAAGGTAGATTCTCTTTAACTGCAACGCCCAGACCAGGAACGAGCAGATAAACAGATGATCCTTTCCATATGTGTGTCAGTCCCATTCATCGACGGGTTGTAAATGCAAACACGTGTCAGTACAAGTTCAGCCGTTCAGAAAAGGCACTGGTAGCTACTTACACGCATCCGTGGAGCTTTGACATGTTTGCTAGCAGAGGCATCGGTACATGCCCACATCCACATCGATGGCTGAGTTTTCATCTTGTAATGATTCCTGTCTCCAGATCTTCTGACCCCTGGCTGTGGTAGGTTGGAACTATCTGGAAGATGTAACTGCTCCTCCAGTGGCTGCTCAGCCTATTATGGTTTAGGTGAGCCACTACAGACCCGGAACCTCGAAACGAACGGCACAAGTGGCAAGACAACATTGCATGGCATGGAGGCAACAAGGAGTCACAAGTGTGCCAGGGCCGGAAAAGTCATGACTCTGCGAGCTTTTCGCAATGCTTCGCGAGCGAGCAGGAGGAAGATAGAAGTCACAGTCAAGAGAAACAGAGGCCGAGCCAAAAGTGCGTGTTTTAGCGAAAAAAGATGATGAAGACGACAAGGTCCACAGCTAAAGCATGCTTCTCATCTGGGCTGCAGACAGACGTTTAAATTTATTTACTACCAAGCGAGAAGCATGGGTTTCCCCGCCCAGAAGGTTTTCTGACCTGAAGTGCAACAACTTAGCGTGGCAAAGAAGCCTGTCCGCCATGCGACGATGCAGCCATTGGCTTCTTCGACATGCAGCGCGAGGTGCCCTCTTGCGTCCTGGGACAGCCATTATCTGGTGCGTGCATGTCTTGCCCGCAATTCGTTTGTCCGGCTTCCCGTCCCGACACCAGTCGTTATGTCATGGTGCAGCCTTGCCGTGACTGAAACTTGCAGAGATGACATTATAAATACGGTACTTGGAAGTCATTGGTCTGTGGCCCGAGAGGCTTTGCAACATGATTCCGTACTGTGTATGCTCGCATTCATGCATGGATTCGTAGATTCTGAAGCGATGTTCCGACAGTCTGCAGTCTTTCTCCGTCAGTGTGGAGGGCAAAAGCACCACAGCATGCGCCAATGTCCCACTCTTTCCCTCCTGGCCCTCCTGTGCAGGTGAAGACGAAAGCGCTGCAAACGCAGCGCGAGGCCGGACGGGATGCAGCTTGAAAGCTTTGTCCCACTTCGTCCCTGCGTTTGGGTTGCGCTTAGCCAGGAGCGGCGGATCGAGCGCCGGATTCCCAGATTCTTTGGCTTCTGCTCTTTGTAAACCCATGCAAGCCTCATTCCCTGTTCGCCGTTGCTCCGTCCGAGTGTTTGCACTAGCGAGGTGGTGCTTGGGTGCGTAGAGAACGAACGGAAGAGCGTCTCTGGGCGGTTTCTGCATCGGTGCTGTTGGCGTAGCCGGTCATGAGCAAAGCACGGTTGACGAACTTGGGACACAGGGTCCAGGGTTGACAGTTTTCGTGCAACGTCCAGTGTTGGAGTGACGAAGCTGCTCACGTTGGTTTTAAGGCGAAGAAGAACTGGAGGCCAAATCCTACACAGCAACGTCCGACCTGTGATCAAAGCATGTCAATGTGACTATTCCCTGCATGGCCCGAAGCTGCGCGCGCAGGCAGTCGAATCGCGGATCCAACGACAGCGGGACGAGCATCGAAGCCAGCGGCAGCACCTCGGCACTGTGACCAGCTTTTCCTCTGAGTGCCCTCCAAAACCGGCTTCAACTCAATTGTCACGACAGAGAGCATGATAAGATTGTTAGCCTGGGGGTGCTACTTTGCTGGAAGATCCCAGGTGGGAACACGAGTGATGTGGTATCCCACCCTTCCCACCCCGACAGTTTTTGTTTTCCTACTTCTTGAGCCCCCATAGGAGTAGTCGTTCGTGCGATTGTTGTGCATGCGAGCCCGGTGGCATCGCAGCTGGTAGACTTTTCGGAAGGCCATCGGCCAGCGTATTTCGATGCTGCGACACATCTGTGAACCGGACGCATGCAGTGGGCATCAGGGTAGTGCCAGGGCTAGCCACGCTATGTCGCAATGAGAACCCACATTGCATCGTGCCAGGAAGCGGAACGGAGCAAGGGTTGGTGTTGAGGTTCGACCATGAAAAGTTACGGTGGATAATGACAGCATGTTGAGTTTTGTTGACTGCCAGGTTTTGGAAGAGTGTTCTTCAATAGTCTGGAAACATGCAACATCAGGTCACTGGAGGAGTTCACAAAGCAGGAACTTGTCCAAAAAGCAGAGCATGAGGCCCTGGACCCATTGCATGTTTTGTCACGACAGATTGGGGGCGCAGGTGTCCAACCTGTTCAGTGCAGGTAACCTTTAGCAGTCTGTACTTTTTGTCTTGTCGCCATGCCACTACATGCAGACTTCAGATGAAAAGCCGCTTGACCACAGACTTCGGCTCCAGACATCAGAAAACTCCTGCATCTCCTGCCTTCGTGAATCTCGCAAAGCACACATGCAGTTCAGAGTCCCGGCATGTTGGGTGTGGAACTATTGCGATTGACGATGGCCATGCTGGGAGTCAGGGCCTCGGCCTGCGGAGTCTGCGGAGACGGCCCAACTGCTCGCTTGCAATGGTTATTGCAGAGACATTTGACGGCGCCCCCTTGCCATGCATGAACTGTCCCATGTCTATACTTGGAACTTCAACGCCCCCCGAACCTCAGACTCATGAAGTGTCGTGATGTAAACTTGTTGTGCTTGATCGTCCAATCAAATCAGGAGAACGGACGAGGCCCAGAGCGCCCTCAACAAGCTCAATGATCTTGAAACCCTCTCATGTCAAATTCTTTGGTTCGGGCGGGATCCAGGAATGCAGCCGGAACGCACACATCCCACGACGTGTCTGTGATACCAAATCGTACAAGTTCTGCTGGAATCATCGCATATGTTCTCGAGTGAACGCTCTAAGTGTCGTCACTTGGCAGTTACTGCGAGGCTGGATCTCACCACAGCGACGTCGGACGAAGCAGGCCGTGCGGCAACATACTCCAAGTGCTGTGCATTGGCCAAACTGAATAGTTTATCTGTCTGAAATATTCAAGCTTTCTACAGGCCGTGCCGTCCAGCAGACTGTACTGCAGTGATTGTGGACTGAACGTGGACTGTGCCCGGCTGCTGCTCAAGCAGTAGGCCAAGCAGCTGAGTTTGTTTTGCAACCTCTGCCAGCATGGCCATGCTCCGCTCAGCAGCCCGCTTTAAGCATCTTTGGGCCGCCGGCGACAAGCAGTATGTGGGCTGCTGGGAGTCCGTTCCCCGTCGCTACGGCAACGCTCTGGGCCCCGTGTCCTACGCCAACCGTACTCCAGTGCCCAAGGACTGGGTCCTCAGGGGAAGTGGAATCCATGGACCCGAAAACGGTGAGGTCATGAAGTTGGTGCTGTGGAACCGGCTCAAGCAGAAGCGCCCTCAGCGACAGGGTGTCACCACGGCAGATCTGCAGGAGTTCTACCGAATGGAGGTCACAGTCGTATGGTGGATGTTTGGCCTCGTGTTCTTCGTGGCACCCCTCAATTGGTGGGGAAAGAAGTACCGCATGGTCCACGACCACTACCCGTGGATGGCCGCGCGCGTGGATGGCACGCGTGGAGTGGGCCCCTACGCCTGGTTCTTCGAGTGAGGCTTTAAAGCCAAGAGCGCCTGTGGCCTAGCTTGCTCTCAGAAGTGGTTCAGGAAGAGTTGCAGCAGGTAAGAACATGAGCTAGCCGAACTGGGGAAATTTCATGCGGGTTCGGTAGCATCCATGATTCACCCTGCGCGTGCCTGCTTCAAAAATCACATTGCGACTCATTTCACACGATGGTTTGATAGCTGATTCGTCTGATCCGCGGCCTATGAACGAGATACGAATTTCTAGCATCGTGAGGAATCGTGAGGTAGCAGCGGCATGCTTTCGACGTGGTTGAATCTTTGCCGGGGTCTTTCGAATGACAGCACATGTTGCATATGGAGCGGAATCTTGCTTGAAAACGCGGTAGTAGTCGGCTGGCACGTGTGTAGCAAATGCATGCAAGGCCAGTGCTTGATGCCTTCCCCCGGAAGAAATTTCAATGTAGACGGCCCGTATCTCACGCACCGGAGCGTAACTGTCACAGCAACTTTGGAGGAAGAAACCAAAAGGATTTGCTCGGCTGCTGCTCAAGCGGTAGGCCAAGCAGCTGAGTTTGTTTTGCAACCTCTGCCAGCATGGCCATGCTCCGCTCAGCAGCCCGCTTTAAGCATCTTTGGGCCGCCGGCGACAAGCAGTATGTGGGCTGCTGGGAGTCCGTTCCCCGTCGCTACGGCAACGCTCTGGGCCCCGTGTCCTACGCCAACCGTACTCCAGTGCCCAAGGACTGGGTCCTCAGGGGAAGTGGAATCCATGGACCCGAAAACGGTGAGGTCATGAAGTTGGTGCTGTGGAACCGGCTCAAGCAGAAGCGCCCTCAGCGACAGGGTGTCACCACGGC